TTCAGCATTAATGTTCTGATGCTCCTCTCAATATTTACTCCTTTACCATGCGATTCTTTGTGCTGTCAATCATATTTAGTCTTCAAATCCACATAAAGCCCCATTTCTTTTTTTTTTTTTTTTTTTTTTTTTTTTTTTTTTTAATTTTTTTTTTTTTTTTTTTTTTAATTTTTTTTTTTATTTTTTTTTTATTTTACATATTTTATTGATTTTTTTTGCCCCCCTCCTTCCCTCCCATGTATCCCCTCCCTCCCCAGAGTTTTATGTCCATTGGTTGTACTTATATGCAGGTATACAAGTCCTTGGGTTGATTTATTGTCTCCCCCAGACCCTCCTCCCCTCCCCGTTGTAATTTGACAATCTGCTTGTTGCTTTACTGTCTCTATATCTATTAAAGCCCCATTTCTTATCTGAAATCTGCCCATAGTGTATACCTCTATGATTTTATTTTTTTTATTTTTTTAATTACAAAGATGGTTTATTTGCAGTAATCTTTTTCTTTTTCTTTTTAAATAAATCTTTATTATTCAGATTTTACAATTGTTTCTCCTTTCCACCCCCCATCTGGTCCCCACTCACCCTCTTCTCTTACCTTCCCCCACCCCCCTGCATCCTCATCCATAGGTATATGACTTTTGTCTAGTCTCTTCCTGTATCCCCCACACAGACACCCCTTTCCCCCTGAGAATTATCAATCCCCTCCCATTCTATGCCCCTGATTCTATTATATTCACCAGTTTATTCTGTTCCTTGGATTTTTAAATCACTTGACTTTTAGATTCATTTGTTGATAGATATGTATTTGTTGTTCGTAATTTTTACTTTTTTTCTTCTTTTTCCTCTTTTTAAAGAACACCTTTTAGCATTTCATATAAAACTGGTTTGGTGGTGATGTACTCCTTTAGCTTTTTCTGAGCTGTGAAGCTTTTTATCTGCCCTTCAATTCTGAATGATATCTTTGCTGGGTAATCTTGGTTGTCGGTTCTTGCTATTCATCACTTTGAATATTTCTTGCCACTCTCTTCTGGCCTTCATAGTTTCTGTTGAGAAATCAGCTGATAATCGTATGGGTGCTCCCTTGTAGGTAACTAACTGTTTTTCTCTTGCTGCTTGTAAGATTCTCTCTTTGTCTTTTGCTCTTGACATTTTAATTGTGATGTGTCTTGGTATGGTACTCTTTGGATTCCTTTTGTTTGGGGTTCTGTGCTTTCCTGGACTTATAAGTTTATTTCTTTCACCAGGTGGGGGAAATTTTCTGTCATTATTTCTTCAAATAGGTTTTCAGTCTTTTGCTCTCTCTCTTCTTCTGGCACTCCCATAATCCTGATATGCTTGGTATGCTTGAAGTTGTCCCAGAGGCTTCTTACACTATCTTCAACTTTCTGGATTCTCTTCTCTTCTTGCTTCTCCAGAAGAATGTCCTTTGCCTCTTTGCATTCCAAAGTTTTGACTTGAGTTTTGCATTCTTCTAGTCTGCTATTGAGTCTCTGTATAATATTTTTTTATTTCAATCAGTGTATGTTTAATTTCTAGTTGGTTTAATTTCTTTTTCATAATCTCAAGGGTCTCATTAAATTTATTGGCCTTTTCTAGGAAATCCTTGAAAAACCTTATAACTGTGGCATTGAACTCTATATCCAGTCTTTTGTTCTCCTCCAATTCTTTGTTTGAGATCTCCTTCCTTTTCTCGGCATTTTCGCTGCTTATGCAAAAGCAGCTGTGTGGAGCCTGGGCGGGTTTGTAGAATGTGCAGGGCAGGGCCTCTGTGTGGGGCGGGGCCTCAGGACATCACTAGGCTGGGGCATGGCAGTGATGGCTGCCGTCAGCCGTCTCTGCCTTTCAGCATTTTCAAGTCCCCACATCTCCATGTTACAGTGAGGTAAACAATGATTGCTGCGCGCACCTCTGCAAAAAAGTCACCTTCACTTTCGGACCCGATGGCTGACAGACCAGCTTCTCCCCGTATGAGTTCCCTGCATGACCCCAGAAACTGGATTTCAAAGTGATTGGGAGCTTATTTCCCTTCTGGTTGAAAAAAAGCTGCATGCTCAGTTGCCCGCCACCAGCCCAATTCGCATGCCTCCGAACCCAGGCTTTTCAGCTTTTTAGCGCTTGTGTTCCTTTCTCTTTCAGGCAGCTTTCCTGTGGCTCTGGGTGATAGATGTTTTGTCTTTTAGTTGTAGTTTTGAAATTGTTGTGCGAGGTGGCAGATTAGTTGCTCACCTATGCTGCCATCTTGGTTTTTCTCCATACCTCTATGATTTTATTCATCATGTAGACAGCATCTGGTGCAAAGCAATGTTAATGTTATTAACATAAAAGACACAAAAGAAATATAAGACAAGGCCCTGAGAATTCCCCATCTTGTTCAAGAGAAACATACAATAGAAAAATAATGGAGCCATATAAAATAATTTTTGATTAAGCACTAAATGAAGCACTATTTTAAACAAACAAAAATACTACAGGTGATTAGAATTAGGTGTCTCTCCAACCCTATCTTTCACTGATACTCTTACCCCATTTTGTTCCATTAAATATCATTCTTTCATATCTAGGTATTGGTCTACCTGGATGCTCTCCTTGAAAAAAAAATTTTTTTTTAATTTCAGAGAGGAAGGAAGAGGGAGAGAAATAGAAACATCAACAATGAGAGAGAATCATTGATTGGCTGCCTCCTACATACCCCCAGGGGGGGATTTAACCACCAACCTGGCATATGCACTGACCAGGAATCAAACCATGACCTCAAGGTTCATAGGTCGACACTCAACCTCTGAACCACACTGACCTTGAATTCTTAGTAAATTTCTTTTTATTTTTCAAAATACAGCTCAGCTGTCAGCTCTTCTATAAGCCTTCTCTACCCTTTGGCCCCCAACAAAATAACCACAATCCCCTTCCTGCCTATGTAAACTGCTAATATTGCACTTACCAAGCATATAATTACTTTTAACCTCATATTTGTTGAATTTTAAAACATATGTATCCTTTAATATAGTACTTCTATACATAAATACTTCTATACTTCAGTACAGAAATACTTTAAATGTGTAAAATAATGTATATAAATATCCATTGTACCACTTCTATAATTATAAAATAAAATGGAAATGGATTGAATACCCATCAAAATGAAGTGTAATGATATGTAACCATGAAATAAATCTCTGTGTACTGACACATAAAGAAGTTCATCATTTGTTAAGTAAACAGAGCAATATGCATAATATGCCTCATTTTCTAAAGCACAGTTATATTTTGATGTTTGAGTTACATGTGCATACATACCTGATAAAACAGGTACATCTCAAAAGTTATTTGGGAGGGAGATGGAGGTGAAGAAAGATTTTTAACTTTTTTAAATGTCTTTGCTTTTTTTAATTACACAAGCCCTGATTCCTGAAACACCCTCTATTCAAATGGTAGACATTGGGTAATATGATGTCTGCAGCTAATAACTCACTTAAATGAAGTGTTGGGAAAGGAAAGAAACCAAATGATTTCACAGCTGATTCCTGATTGGTCTCTCAGTTGCCAACCTCCTGGAGTTCAGTTTAAATTCCTTCTACAAACTCATAACTCATCAAAGGATAAAATATTTCACCCCAGGAAGTGAAGAAATCAACTGGACTTTGATGATTTTTTCCCCTGTACATTTTGCCTAGTGAAAAGGTAACATTAATTGACCATGTTTCAAATCAGAGCATTCTGGTTTTTTATGTTTGTTTGTTTGTTCTTTTAAGTATCCTCTTTTCTCAAAAGGAAAAAAAAAATGGAGTGAAAGAGTAATACTATTTTGTTGTTATAGGTAGCAATTTGAAGCATGAAGACTGTGGTTCTGCTGCTTTATCTTCTGGGATCAACTCAGTCATTACCCGTAAGTGCAATATGTTTATTTTATGTACAACCCACCTTAGCAGCATCTTAATTACATACCTATTTCTCTTTCTACCCTCTGTTTTGTGACCCATTCCCTTAGTTTCTGAGTTTTATTCTCCAAGGTGATAGATGGTAAACTAATAAAGTGTTAGTGCAAATTTCAATGTACTTAACATTTTTAAAGTGCATTGCAGTAGAATGTCTATTAATTTGGCAGAGAAATAGGGTAAAAATTAAGAGGGGAAAAAAAGAATGCCTTAGATCCGTGGTCGGCAAACTGTGGCTCACGAGCCACATGCAGCTCTTGGCTCCTTGAGTGTGGCTCTTCCACAAAATACTATGGCCTGGGCGAGTCTATTTCGAAGAACTGGTGTTAGAAGAAGTTTAAGTTTAAAAAATTTGGCTCTCAAAAGAAATTTCAATCATTGTACTGTTGATATTTGGCTCTGTTGACTAATGATCCTTGGTGTTGTTCACTGCACAATAGATGCTAATAAATAATTTTTAAAAGAACTATAAAATAATAAGTTGTAACTAAGATTAGTCCTATGAAGGAGAAGAGGGTAATCTGGTAGGAAAGGGGTGGGACAGACATGAATAAATAACCTTCTTATTTCTTTCCAAATGATACATATGTCCTTCTTGAAAGAGTTTATCTGCAAAAATTCAATTTCTAAACAAGTTAAATTAGGAAGTTAATTTTTTTGTAAACCACAGATTTTCCACTTCACCAAATAAATTTATCAAAAGGTTCTCCTAAATAGGGTGTCTCTACTATATTTTAAATTAGTGTCCATTGTGTAAAAACTCAAGAGAAATAAAACTTTCCAGAAGCACATTTATCTTTCAAAGTAAATTGAGGAGTAGCATGCAGGTCAATGTAGGTTGCTAATAGCCAATAACATGAAAGCAGCTACAATTAGTGGTGCAGGAGGTGACACTAAGGTATCTATTGGGTATAGCAGTGGTATTTGTCAACCAAAAAATCAGGACACATGGATGAGATTTTTTTTTTTTTAATTATTTGTGAGTTTAATTACTAGAGGCCCAGTACACAAAATTCATGCATGGAGGTGTGTGTCCCTCAGCCCAGCCTGCACCCTCTCCAATCTAGGACCCCTCAAGATGTTCAACTGCCCATTTAGGCCCAAACCCAATAGGAGTTTCAAAGTATTAGTCAAATGATCCCAGCGGGATTTGGCCTAAACAGGCAGACAGATATCCCTCCCACAATCCAGGATATCTGGCTCCGAATTGCTCACCTGCCTTCTTTCCTGATTGCCCCTAACCACTTCTGCTTGCCAGTCTGATCACTCCCTAACCACTCCCCTGCCAGTGTGGTTGATGCCTAACTGCTCCCCTGCCAGCCTATTTGCCCCTAACTGCCCTCCCCTGCAGGTCTGGTCACCCCTAACTTCCCTCCTCTACTGTCCATCTTGTGGTGGCCATTTTGTGTCCACATGAGGGCAGCCATCTTTGATCACATGGGGGCAGCCATCTTGTGTGTTGGAGTGATGGTCAATCTGCATATTACTCTTTTATTAGATAGAATAGAGGCCTAGTGCACAGGTGGAAGCCAGCTGGTTTGCCCTGAAGGGTGTCCCAGATCATGGTGGGGGTTCCCTTGGAGTGTGGGGTGGCCTGGGCAAGGGACCTGTGGTAATTTGCAGGCTGGCCAAAACTCCCTGCCCCCTCCTCCCCGCCCCAACTCAAGCAGAGGCCCTGGTACCTGGGATTTATTTATCTTCTATAATTGAAACTTGTAGCATTGAACACAGCCAAGCCTCCTGCTTGCTCTGAGGCTGCAGCCATTTTTGTTGGGATTTATTATATTCTATAATTGAAACATTTTAGCCTTGAGTGGAAGCCAAGGTGTGCAAAAAGCTTTGCTTCCTCCATTGCCGGGGAAGCCCAAGCCTCCTGCTCTCTCTGTGGCCACAGCTATCTTGGTTGGGTTAATTTGCATACTTGCTCCTGATTAACTGGTGGGCATGGCTTGTGGATGTAGTGGAGTGATGGTTAATTTGCAGATTACTATTTTATTAGATAGGATCATCCATGCATAAAAATGAATCAATTTGCAAATGTGGACACTTAAAATAACCTAGCACTTGTTTTCAGTGGCTCAAGTTTGGGAACTGGAGATGGGGCAGGTTGCATTTTCAGGAGAGTGTGCCTCAATAGGAAAGTGAATTTAAGCAAAGACATGAAGCAGGTGAGGGAGTGAGCCAATGTCTAGGGAAAGAGCATTCCAGACAGAGAGGATGGGTGGAGGTGAGGCTCTGGGGCAGGAGTGGGCCTTACCTGTCACAGAGATAGCAAATAGCCAACAGCAGTAGTAGAGTAAGCAAAGGAAATTAAATGAAATGGACAGTCAGAGAGGCACTGGGGCCTGGGGCATCCAGGGCTGGCAGGCCGCTCTAGGGTCTCTGGCTTTTACTCTGAGTGAGAATGGAAGCCAATGCAGGAGCTGAGCAGAGGAGTGAAAGAACCAGACTGTTGGTTTCAAAGGACCGCTCAGGCTGCTATGCTGACAATAGATTGTAAAGGATGAAAAGAAATCTGCAGAATTTGTACCCACATATCTTAAACCTTCTAGGGACCTCTAAGAATAGATCATTCCAATCTTTCCTCTTAAAACTGAGGGGAAATGGCCAAAGTAAAACCAAGTAGTAGTTGCAGCTCCAAGGTATATCCACGTGGCCAAGGGCACATGGTGAAAGGCTACACCACGTGGCCCTCTGAGATGCATGCAGAATCAAGGGTGACAGAGGGGTGGACCTGGCCAGGGAGCTTCCGCCTGAATGCAGAGGAAGGGGGGAGAGAAGCTAAGGGGAGGACTCATTTCTTCATGGACCGAGAACATGTGGGGGATCCTGTACTGGCTCTGCCACTCATCAAGCCACCTTGGGCAGGTCACTTTGCTTGTCTGGGCCTCGGTTCCTTATCTTTAAAGAAAACCATACAAACATAGGGTATCCCAAAAGAATGTATACACACTTGAACAGCTGGTAGTGCAATTTTGAAAAGTGTTTTTATACATTTTTGGGACACGCTGTACAACATGCGGATTGCAAGTACATATTCAACCCTTAAATTCAGTGATTCTCAAATACACTAGGAAAATACTCTGGCCAGAAGAGGATGTTCACTTCCATTACAGAAAGTGACTTTCCAGGCACAGGCTAAAGCAGAAAGCTTTGTTAAAATGCATTAGGAATCGTGGCAGAGTGCATTCAAGCATTAGGAAAAAGCAGATGTGAACAGAGCTAAGAGGCAGGCTATGTATGTCATGCCCTCGGAAAAGAAGTTACAGAAAAGAAATGGGAACCTAGGAACTCCCACCAGAAATGCATGGGCCCTGCCCCACGCTCTTTCCCACAACACACCTGGACTGGCGTTTTTCCACTCTTTGGTCCTATCTCCTGCTATGCATGACATGTTCCAAGAAATTAAAACTGCTCCAAAACACACAGAGCCTAAACATTTTTGCATTGGGGTCAACTAGTTACATCCTAAAATGAACGGATACAAACACATCTCAAACACATCACTGCCGTGAAAATATTTACCACAGATGCAGCTCAAACCTGCTTTGGGACTTCCTCCAATGCAGCTGGTTCCAGATCAGACAACCCTACTAAACCAACAGCAGCCAAATCAGGTGAGTCCTCCAATAGAAGCATCGCAGCCAGAGAAGGAAACGTGTAACACTAGCGGGTTTAAATCAAGATTTACCCAGAGTCTCATGACTAAACAAGAGAGAGAGGATTTCCCTTTTGGAAAAAAGTAAAATAAGAACAAATACACCTTTTAAAAAAAATTGAATCAGGAAAACAAAGCATCCTCATTCTTTTTTTCCTTTTGTCTGAACAATAATTTGTTAGTAACCAAATCTAGTAAAATTTGAAAAGCAATAGCTACGGATGTTGACAAAGCTTGGCCATCTATGCCTTGTGATACTGTGACATGTCACGTGGTATTTGCCAGAGCTAACAGGGAGGTAATATTAATAAAGATAATCTATAGAAATAATGGCAGACTTCCTCCAGTTCTGTTGCTGTTGATGAGCTAATGCATCACTATAAAGTCTGTTTCTTCAAAGCATATTTAAATATTTTAAAAACTCCATTGTCTTTTGGCTCCTACCCTTCCTCTCACTCCTGCCCTCCATCTGTTCTAAAGGTCCCCATCTTGACTTCATTTAGACTTTGTGTAACAAAAGGTGACACCAGAGTCTAAGGTCCTTTTTGTAATTTATGGTCATAAATCTATATCTCTCCTTAGGAAACCTAAAGCTTACATAACTTAGGGATACTCTTTATGAAAAAAAAATACAAAATTAAACATGTAACATTAAGTACCAAAGTGAATAATTCATAATGAGGTGAGAAATAAGAAACACACATTTTTAAAGCTGATAAATACCACAAACTAGGCAGACTGCTCAGGTGCCTCCCAGGGTCAGGGAAGGGGGCAATACTAGTGAAGCTTCACCTTCATGGCAAATCCACCCCTAATGGGAGCATAGGTTACTTAAGGATGTCCACCACTGGCAGGTGAGTGAAAACAGACATCCTCTCTCTCATACATCAATTTCAATGCCCTGCAGGTCTTCCCTTCTTTAAGTCTAATACCATTGACACAGCTGCTCACCATGGGTTCAGATCTGCAACTGGTAAGTACCCTTTTATATCATTTAATAGCCATTGGTAAGTAAATATAATACCTAATATTGAGTGTGTATATCTATATATGTATCCACAAATGTACACATACACACATATTGATTGTAGATCAATTGAAAGAGAAGAAAGAAAAGTCAGAGCTGAATTCTAGTCAACATGTCATGAACCTTTTTTTCTTAGCAAAAGGATCACTAAAGGAATTACAATTCTCAAGTCTTTGCTCCTGTAGTTCTTTTTACCTTTTCTTCAAATTCCTCTCCCCATTTCTTCAGCAGGCCTTTCTCTCTTCTCCCCACAACATGCACCCACCATTCAAACACTATAACTGTTAGCTTCACCTCAACAACTAGAGAAAACCAGAAAGGATAGGAAGATTTTCATTTTTCACAAAATATCTGTATAGTTATTTAAACTACATATAGTTTAAGTTCCTTTGCTGATTAAAGTGAATTTTTAACTAGCAGTCAGATTTACATATACTGGTAGTAATAGATCCTTTGCAGGCTAGATATTTTATTCTGACTCTAGAAATTTTTATGGGGACACTTATGAAGAATCATTTCTTCACAAGAAAACCATCAGGGAAATTCCAGGAATCATTGCTGTTAGAGCCAAAAAGGGAAATCCAGGTTGAAATTACCTGAGTTGTTTTCAAAGAGCATGGTTAAATGCCAAAGAAAGTTTTAATATGGAAAAGGTTAGTCAACCTGTGGTTGTATTGGTAGACTAAACAAGTCTTGGAACATCACCTCTATATCTAATTCTAAATGCGATATAGTATAATTTGCATAGTAAATTCTCCATGTAAACATATTTTACATTTAGTAAATACATGTTAGTTTCCTGTAGGTCCAACTGAAACAATACAATGACAACCTTCTTTGCCTTACAGCTAAATCCTCCTCCTGCAAGAATGGCACCTGCTGCCCACACCCTCCCACTGACCCTGGGGGGGTTGAATGTTCAACAGCAACTGCAACCCCAAGTAAGTTCAAAAATGAAACTTCAGTTAAAAATTGGGGAGCGTCTTCTCTTAGGTGGAAGCCTACAGGGAAGGAGATAATTTTTTCAAGGTTCTTAAACATTTCCCCCAGGTAATTTGTAGAGGGATGTTCTACAGAACATGGAACAGTCTTTGACAATTTGAGTCATGCTGGAAATCCATGAGAACACACCTGGAGAACTGAGCATTCTGCCTCATAACCTCTCCAGAATACGTTTGTAGTGAGTAATAGAAAAAATGTGAAGGGTTAGGAAGATTGAGAAGTCAGAAGTATAAGGAGGAAAATGAGAAGTAGCAGGACTCTTCTCTAACATGTTGTGTTTTCTATTGAAGAACTTCTGGGTGGCCAGAATCACCCAAAATTAAAATTAAGAGGTGAATAAAATTTAAATTCTAATCTCCTTTTTGTATCTTTTTGTCAGGCCTGCTTGAAAGTCCCCAACTACTTTCTAGTTCTTACCTACTTCCCATCATCATTTGCTTTCATGTAAAAACCTCTCACATCCTATATAATAATCCTATATAATAAAAGCCTAGCCGAAACCGGTTTGGCTCAGTGGATAGAGCATCGGTCTGCAGACTGAAAGGTCCCGGGTTCGATTCCTGTCAAGGGAATTACCTTGGTTGTGGGCACATCCCCAGTAAGGGATGTGCAGGAGGCAGCTGATCGATGATTCTCTCTCATCGATGTTTCTAACTCTCTATCTCTCTCTCTTCCTCTCTGTTAAAAATCAATAAAATATTTTTTTTAACTAATATGCAAATTACCCCCTTGGGTGGTTGTTCCATTGGGAGTTCAAAAGAGAGACCAGGAGCTTGGCTGCTTACTGTGATGTACACTGACCACCAGAGGGCGGCGCAGAACATGGCAGGAGTCAGTGATGCGGCCCTGGCAGCAGGTGGCAGTGGTGGTGCTGCTGGCCCTGTTGAGCCCTGATGAGAGCATGACTGCTGTGGGATGTTGGAGCAGGTGAGCAGGCAGTGCCAGGCCTAGGCAGGTGCGAGCAGGAGCCTGATTGCTCCGCCATTTCCCCACAGATGGCAACCAGTGGCAGCGGTGGGGGGCAAGGCTGCCACTTGGCTCCCAGGCACTGAGGGAGCCAGGAGGAAGCCCGGCCCCAATCAATCGCCCCACAGATGGTGGAGCAGGTGAGGGGGCAGCGCCAGGCCAAGGTGGGTGCCAGGCAGGGCTGCAGGGCTGCAAGGCTGGGGGTGCAAGCGGGGGCCCAATCCCCGCAGGCCACCCCAAGGGACCCCACCCGTGCACAAATCTGTGCATCGAACCTCTAGTTAAGATATAAAGGGCATATTTAGGTCATCAAACACTTAAGGATGTGTTTGAATTTTAACTATAGACAAAGCGCAAATATCTACCTTTTTGAAACTTCTTTAAATAGATTATTGGGCTCTAGAGAGAAATACAATGATCCCTTTATGACTGTACTAAGTCATTATGGGTAACTTATTCTCCCTACCAGGTTATCTTAGCCCCACATAATGATCTCATTTTGTGTAGAAACTTTATTGTTTATTACATGCATCCTATATAGTATTATATAGTAATTATAGAGAACTTAGAAAATATAGATGAGCAAAAATGAAGCTCATGAAATTCAGTGATGGGGGAGGAGTCACAATATAATCCTAATGGTTAGGATTAATCACTGTCAGCATTCTAGGATATGTCCTTTCTGTCTTTCCTCCCCACCCCAATCCCCCCACCCCCCATCTATGATGCGTTAGGCACATGTTTTAAGAAAATTGCCCTGCTCTAACCTTGAAGTCAGACTTAGCACATATTTTTTAAAAATATGTTCTTATAATATCTAATGTTCTATCACTTGATTTTTTTTTACTTAATAGATATTGAATAGTCTGTGTTTTGAAATATTCACTTATAACATTGTTTTTAATGATTGCTTAGTTTTTTTGTTGTATTGCAAAAGTTTGGTATTTGTATGTTTTTTATTTTTATTTTGCTTCTATAAATTATGCTACAGTGAACATCCTTATAACTATGTCTTTGATCATATCATGATTATCTTCTTAGGACTAGTTTTTAGGAAAAGAATTTGTAGGTGTAAAGACATAAAAATGTAAGACTTTTAATACACATCCCCAAATTATGAAGCATGAGTACAATAATGGATCAATATATCCTAACCATCTTTTTACTACTATGGATACCTCCAGGTTTTAATAAGAGTAAGTTTATATTAATTAATAATTATAATCAAAACTCAGTTTAATTTACAAAATAATTTTAAGCTGCTCAATTTAAATTTTACATCATATGTGACATTTTTATACCTTTGTCCAAAATAACAACACAAGACACTCTAAGCTGTGTCATTAATTTATATTTGTGAAATTCTGTAACATAACTAACTTTTACATTTCATTTCTACTATTGAAATGTATGCTTGTATTTATTTCCTGCAGATATCTTAAAGCCTTCCCTCAACATATTTGCTGATTACTTATATATCAATAATAAAAGCTATTCTCTGGGGAAAAAAAAAAAGACTAGAGAAATGGCATATAAAATGAACATTTCTTTAACACATGATCCTGGCATGGTCCTTATGCCAACTGCCCCACTTCAATTTCAATTATTGCCCTATTCTAACCTTGAATTCAGACTTAGCACATCTTCACATTCACTCCAGTCAAATGCGTTAAAGGTCACTGTAGATGTTACAAAAGGTTCAGTAGAGAGGATTTAACAATACACTTTCCCAACATACAATAACATAAATCAACCTCCTTTCTCAGGGGAGATTCTTCACGCTCTCTAGGCTATCCCACCTCTAAGGGTCTCCCTACCTGCCCTGCTCCTGTGCACCCCAGTCCTTCTGACCCTGCCTTTCCAGGGTCCTCTGCCAGAAACTTGGGCATCTGTCTAAAGCTGCTGTTTTTCAAACCAAGGCCAACATGGCAGAGTGAACTATAAATTCACACAATGTCTGGTCAATCCCAGCTCTCCGTTTATTACCTGCACTAGAGGCTCAGTGCACGAAATTCATGCAAGTGTAGGCCTTCCTTCCACTAGCACCCAGCACCAGCTCCCCTCTGGCACCGGGGACGCAGGCTTCCCTCGCGGCTGGCTTCGTCTGAACGTCTGGTCTAATTAGTATATTACGCTTTTATTATTATAGATGATGTTGGCCAAGTTACTTAACTACCTGTGGCTCACTCTCCTCATAATTTAAAATGGGAGTAAAATACAACCTATCTCTAGAGCTTTTATAAAGGTTATATGTGTAATCATACATTAAACACTTAGAATACTTTTTACCACACAGTATATACTCACCAAGTATTAGCTATTATTATTTCAAATAACTTCTCTAGCAAACACTAATAAAAATTATTTTTATGTTGGTGAAATATTAAATTATCTGTAATTACTTAGACATCTCTAGTTTCCTATTTGTATCTTTTTTTTTTTACTTAGACATATCTAGCTTCTTATTAGTATCTTTTTGTTCCTTCCAATTCGTCATTTTTTAAAAATATTTCAATTATGTTTTCTCCCAAATCTTTGTCCCTTCCCCCCAACCCTCTTCCCCATTGCTACCCTGAGATTAGTTGATTTGGGGTCAGTAGCCAGAGATCTAATGAAGAGATAGGCTTTTCTTAAAAGTATGCACTTTTTACCTTTTGTTACTATGGCTATCACTGTACTGGGAAATAATAAAGTTAAGAGTCTATTTCATGAGACTTCCAAACCTTTTGGGTTGGTTGCTATTAAAAGTTCCATTGTGATTACTTTCCTGACACTGTGTGAATCTTTATAGAAATAAAAACAAATCCTAAAGCCCTAGTTCTCTAACAAATTCTAGGTTAGTTCTTAAAGTACCAGAGTGCACCAACACCTCATCCAAATCAGTTTGACTATAAATTTAGGACAGTTACATAGTTACCAGTGACCTTTCAAAATATTGCTCAGTTGTAAGAGCTCTGTCAGTGCCAGGGATTATTGAACAATGCCACTCATCATTTCCTTCCAGTGCTCTATTTTAACAGCAGAACTCCCAGGCAACCATCATGAAACGAACCATAAATGCTTCAAGAATTCATTGTATTTGAAAATATTTACTGTGTTTTCATGTATCTTCTTAAATGCCATACAAAATAAACACATGCTTTTCTATCCACATTTTATATCATTATTTCTAGGGATAACTTTTAGTTTGGAGGTAGAATAAGGCCAAATTTATTTTTTGATCATCCAATTTACTAACTTCTATTTTCTAAATGTGCTGCCTTTGGATTCAAAATCTCCTTGGGCCTAATCCTTTTTACAATTGGATGAGTACTGGTTCCCATCCAGCTCTATGAGTTTATATCTATGATTATAGATAATACATAAGTAACAAATACATGTTGAACAAATGTTGTTTTTTGTTAGTTTGTTTATATATTTTATTGATTTTTTTACAGAGAGGAAGGGAGAGAGATAGAGAGCTAGAAACATCGATGAGAGAAAAACATCGACCAGCTGCCTCCTGCACACCTCCTACTGGGGATGTGCCCACAACCAATGCACATGCCCTTGACAGAAGTCAAACCTGGCACCTTTTAGCCCGCAGACAGACGCTCTGTCCACTGAGCCAAACGGGTTTCGGCAAATATTGTGTTTTTTAAGAAAGTCTTGATATTGATATCATCTATCAGAACTTACCTTTGAATATGTTTTTTACTGAATTTATTACAATTTTTTCCAGATGTTGCCACTTATCGTAACACAACTTGGAGCCCAGGTAAGGTTATTTTGTATGATGGCTTTTGTTTTAAATTATCTTAGTGTGAAATATTTAATCTTGCCTTCATTTACCAAATAGTTGCCAAGTTTACTGTTTACTTTGCACTCTATGAACACTGATCATAGCAAGAACAGTTATTGAACACTTACTATGTGCCAGACACTGTTATAAGTATTTTATTATTTATTATGTACTATCCCATTTCATCTTCAAAATAACCTTTTACAGACAATATTTTTATTGCCCATTTGAAGATGAGTAACTGGAGATACAGTAATTCAGTTACATTCACAGAGATAGTAAATGTCACAGGTGACACAACAAGTCATTTCTTTAAATCCCACTGTTAAGAAACAAAATAAATTAATGGGATTGGTCTGAGTTATGATTTGGGAGATTTATTTTTTAACTACAAATTTGCTTATTAATTATATATTATTTCCCTAAAAAATGATACAAACATTGCCTCTTCTCTCTCCCTTTTGTGTGTGTGTGTGTGTGTGTGTGTGTGTGTGTGTGCGCGTGTGGGTGTGTGTAAAGGTAATTCTTGAGATCAAATTACCAAGGATTAAGATCAAATATGAGCATCAGATGGCAGTTTTTACTCCTAAATACCGAATCAAATATAAAATTTAGATCAACTCTTGATTCCACATCTGGGAACACATTTAAAGAAATAATCTGAAAAATAGCAAAGATTTATTTACAAATATGTTAATCAAAATAATATTTATAGTACAAAAGAATGTTGGGTGCAACTCAAAGAAAGTTAGCTGTGCAACATAAAAGCCAATATTTTGTGATCATTGGAAATATAATTATTGAAATATGACTGTACTGTGGTTAAATGATTATTGTATAGTATTAAAAGAAAAAATAAGACAGAAATTGTATAAATGACATGACTTCTATTATATAAAAAACAATGTGTGAAAAATATCTGGAAGAAAATATATCAAACTCTGCCAGATGACATTATATTATTTTTCTTGTTGCTTTCTAGAAAGCACCTTCCAAGTTTCCTCCTCCAATGTACATCTATTACTTAATAATGAAAAAATCTATTTTTAAAATACATAAAACATCACATCACTCAAATAATGTTAGCTGTCCAATATCATGTCTAACAAGAGTTTTGTAATGCAACTTACAAGGCAGTTTAAAATTTTGTTGAAAATAAAAAGTCTATTTTTACAATTTTTTTAATTAATTTAAGTTTTTAAGTTATGTTATACATATCTTACCATTAATATATCAAAATTTACCTAACATATTTTGTTATTATTTTTTAGGGTACTATCCTAAGCTCAGAGGAATTGGTAAAAACATTTTTTAATTACTAATATTTAAAATTCTTTTCAGTGCTACACAATGCTGTTTTCTGTCCTCATATTAATAGTCTCTTCAACCACAAATCCTAAACTCAGTGTCTACTACAATAAATTGAAAAATTTTATAGGTCTTTGCATTAAGTTATCTTTTGCCTAGCTGGGCCTTTTATCTTCATTATCCAATTATTTTTCCATTAATTTGACTTAGCATTTGTTTTCTGTATATTGATGTTAGATTCAGTTCTATACAGAAAACCAATGCATATTTTTAACTTTATATTTATTAAAATCTAGGATGGTAAATTACTGAAATTATATATATATATATATATATATATATATATATATGTATGTATATATATATTTATATACATGTATATAAATTTATTGCAGGAACATTTCATTTCCTTAACTTAAATTTTTAATTTTTGTAGGAAAATGTATTTTTTAGTGCTTTATAGTGATAGATGCACATGAATAACTAACGGGCTTAACCTAAATAATACTAATATTGTCATTACTAGGCTCTCCTATGCATTTTCTGTAAGTCATTTTTAGGGAAAAATGAATTAATATGGTATCTAAAAATGACACTGAAATTAAGAGTTGAGGCAATATCTGAGAAGACATTTTTTTTCTATTGTAAAAATAGGTAGAGACATGTTTGTCCATAAATAAAATAATGGGGCTGTTTTGTCAACATTAACACCTATGTTTACCAGTTTTTTGAGCCAATTCTAAATATCAAGCACTTAGTAGGTCCTTTTTTTTTTTCTTTACTGATTAAGGTAGTACATATTGCCTTTAATCCTCACCAAATTACAAAGCAGAAATTTTTAACCCAACTTTACAGATAAAGAAACTGAGACTCAGAGGGCTTAAGCAAATTAGGTTTCAAGGTCAAAAACAGATCGAAAGCCATTTTTCTATCTACTATGCTAATGGTTTTGTAACATATTTTTGGTAAAACCCACAATAACAGCTATATTTTTTATTCAGCTAACATGTAGACAACACACATACACACACACACACATTTCATTAAACTATATTTACCCTTATTATATGGATTACATTAAGTAGTTTATAGTCTGTATAGACTAATCTTTTTATCTTGTTTTTAATCCTGGGTACAACCCACCTGCTTTATTTCAAACCTATGGATGTGATCCCCATTGAAAACTTCTGTATCTACTGCTGTCTGTCATGCAGCATACATTTAATCCTGGTTTCAATCCCTCATAAGTCTACAATGGTGTTTCCCAAACTTCAGTCCTGGATCTCAAATCAGGACAACTTGGAAGACTGGTTAAAATGCAGATTTCGAGGTCCTGCCCTCAACCTAGTCCGTCGGAATCTCCCTAAGAATAGAGCCTAGGAACTTGCCTTTATAACAAATTCTTTGGGTGGTTTTTACGAAAACTAACAATCAAGAACCATGTCCAAAGAAACTGAACTGAATCTTAATTGTGAGCTCCTGGCCCTTTTATACCATGAGAACTCCAACAGAGCTGGGAGGTCCCGGAGAACTGGGTCCTGTCTGAACTCTCTCCAAAACTAGCCAAAGTCTAAATATTTCTTCTTAGGTGAAACTTCCCACAGTAAAATTTTTCTCCTGGGGGAAAAAAAAAGGAAGTGTGGCAGCAGCAGCATCCATCACCAGTGTGCACACCATTGACAGTCCAATAAAGAGGAGTTCCACTGGGAAACCCCAAGGTATACACAAGGGCTGAATAGCTAAGAGAAATATTTATGACCAAATATTCCAATGCCTTTGAAAAATACATCAAAAGATATGAAGGAATGCAAACCATGAGAAGAGGATTGATTAATCTATGTGAATTAACTTTGTCCATTAATTTTTAGTCTCATAGATTACTTTTTAAAAGATTAAGGGTGCAGGAAAGACTATGATTTACATTAATAACAGAGACACAGCCTGTCATAATTCCATGGATTTTCTGCCTGAATCCTATCTCCAAATACACCTGACTGTCTTGATTGTGGCTTTCCCTTTCTGAGGGATCGCAGCCCAGCAAGGAACCCCTGTAATGTAGGCAACATCAGGCTTGGCTCAGGGAGAGAGACATTTCCTTTGAGGAGGGCCCATCTTTATTCTTTTCTCTGACTCTACCTTCTCCATCCTGCCATTCCTGCCCTCCAAGAAGAAAGGCTGGTTGACTGGCCTCTAAAAATGTATTCCTTTAACTCTGTGTTCTGTTTCCTTCCCTCATTCCAGCCAGTGGCCCCACAAATCTTAGGCCTCATCTTCCACCCCTTGTTCTCCGGAGCCATCCTGCCCACCAACCACGCTAATGCAGACGTCCAGAACACAATCCTTCCTGCGGGGCAAGCAGGAGTAAATCCTGCCATCCAGGGAGCCCCGGAAGGCCCCTCCCCGATGCCCAGTGGCACAGATGATGACTTTGAAGGGACTACTCCTGCGGGCATTCAAAGGGGCTTGCACATTCCTGAGGAAACCACTACCGGGTTCCCCAATGGTAAGTTCTCCCAGCCAGGAAGATGCCGTGGGTCAGGACAGTCATCTACAGAGAGCAAGAGGAGAGTTCTTTGTCTTGTTGACAAGCACAGATCTTAATAAAGTCAGGGAGCCCCTTTACTCACAGAAGTGCAGCAATGGGAGGGAATATTTTTACTGGGCCACCAACCCTATCGGCTGGACCCAGACAGAAGGCATTTAATTGCTGGCATACATACTTTCCTCCTTAGGCTGGACCTGGAAAGATTTTGAAACAGACTGACTCTCCTTTTCTCATCTCAGACACACACAGGCCCACAGCAGACGCAGTGAATCAATCATGATTCTCTTTTCCACTCACTGATCATGGATGAGCCTCCAAGTTCTCCCGAACTTAATGCTACAAGCAGCCGCTAGGAACACACCGCACTTAGCACATCGACGAACCCATGTGCCATTCTCCTCAGATGGGACTTGAGAAATGTTGGAAAAATACGCTCTTCTAGAGGGAACAAGCAAAGATAATAGTTTAGCAAGTGTGTATGTCTGGAACCAAATGTCCTTGGAGATAACAAAAGAACAATTTGATATTGATACTCTTGCTCCTAGAAAAAAATAAATTCTGATGTCAGGTAAAACTGTTTAAATTCAGTATGATTGGACCTCATGTTTAAAGTGTTTTCTTTTCTTCCAGGAATTCAGTAAGCTGCTGCAAGTTTTTTTTTTTTTTCAACTAAACCACCTTAAGTGCGGTGATACATAGAAGTATTTGTCACTGAGCATATTATGAAAAAAACTGAGACACTGAAGAATACCAGAAGAACATCTTAGTTAACTAAAAACTTTCTTGAAATTTCAGAAAATATATTCTTCCTAGAGAATATTGACTTCTGAATAGATGATTTGTCTTTGAAATGTAACATTACACTATCTTGGATGTGGATGATACATCTATTAAAACATATTTTGAAAACTGACGTTTTCTTCTTTGAGGACGGAAGAAAGTTAGACACTCTTGGGAATGACCCTCAAGTCCAAGAGAATCTGTAGTCGTGGGAATGGATATCAAGCAATGGGAGGAAATGCTCTGATTTCCTCACAGCCCCTGAGGACTTCCTCTCTCCCCTACGAGCGACAAATTTAATTTCAACACGGAAATTATTTTTGATTGTCTAAAATATACAATGGAAACAAAAAATTGTAACTCATATTGTTTCTCAAGCTACTTACACACAGAGCTAGTTATTATGGTGTCTAATGCTTAATTTTGATATGTCTGAGAGTGAGAAATGACATGCGAAAAGTTATTATTAAAGGTGATACTCTTGCTTCTCCCACCTAAAAGGTAGAATTGAATCTGCTTTAAATTTATAACCTAGACCATTACAGTTCACTCAGAGTGGGAAAGGGTAAGGGAGATTAATACAAACTACACTATGGCCCCCACAAATGACAGATATAGATAGATTTAATAATATATCTCAGTATATTTAAGTCAACCCCATCAGTAGAAAATAAATTGATGCACCGGATCTATATTAGAAGCCTGGTGCATGAATTCATGCATGGGTGGGGTCCAGCCAGCCTGGGCAGGGAGAGGGGACATGGGCAGTTGGCTGGCCTGCCTGCTGGTCCAACTCCTGGTCGAGGGGACAATTTGCATATTAGCCTTTTATTATAGAGGATATACACTGAGTGGCCAGATTATTATGCATTCAGAGCTCATAATAATCTGGACACTCAGTGTATATTCCATGTTAAGTGTTTCAGGTGATTAAAGATTTACTAGTGGCTAAGGATTTATTGGTTACAGTATTGCAAATTTGCAGATTCTGAATAACATTTATGAATTGTTAAGACTTTCACAGTCAAATGAGAGTAAATTAGGATTCAAATTTCCAAAAATTTTTGCCATTAGTATCATGTAATAATTAAAAGTGCTATCAGAAGACTTCCTAGGTAACCCTCTATAAAAAAAAAAAATTTACTTCTGAGCCTCATTTTTCTCATCTGCAAAATCAGAGCAAAAAAAAAAATCTATCAGATATTCCACAAAGTTAATGATAAGGGTTAACTAGCTTAATCAGGCAGACAGGAAGGCTGGGGGTTCAGAAAGGATAGAGGCATCTTGGCCTGAACAATTAAAGCAGCCATAAGTTAGATCAAAAGTAGCCCTGACCTGAGCAGTGGGGAGAGCTGTAAAGGGTAACAAAACATCTTCGGCCAGGACAGCTGGGAGATAGCCATAAGATAGATGAAGAGCAACTCCAACCTGAGCAGATAAGATGAATATGTGGAGGAGAGAGAAATGCCACAGGATAAGGGAGGGGGAGAAAGACACACATTCACAGAGGATAAAGAAAAGTCACAGGATATCGGGGGCCAGGGGGCGGGGGGAGGCCGTAGGAAAGATTTTCACAGAGGATAGAGGAATGTTGAAAGAGGGGGGACACAACGTGGGCTTTGGCCTTTGAAACTGGTTCTATGTAACAGAGTGACCAATGAGGAAAGCAGGGGGTCCTAATTAAGGGAAAGGGTCTCCAGGGTATATAAAGCCTCAGACAAAGAGCACAGTGGTCACCCACCATGCCAGGAGAGACAACGTCTGAGCACTAGAAGCTTAGAATCAGAAGTTTTAGAGGTAGTATCTGCTTGCAGTCAAGTTTCTGTACGTCTCACCTACCACCTTTCGTCCATGGCTACATTCTTTGAATCCACCTGGACAAGAACCTGGGAAAGAAACCACCTTTGCACCCTGCTCACCGGAAAACCCCGAATCACAAATATGATTATCAAAGCAGATAATCTATGAAAGTGTTTCTGCAAACTCCAAACCACTACGAAATTTCATTTTGTTTACTTTCAATATCCTCCAAACCAGCTGGAATCATCTGTCCTTCCAGCCCACACTTTCTCCCTGTACTTCCCCACTGTGCTTTATTTAGGTTAGGTGTGTGGTTACTATCAGACCAGGTACATCCATACAATGGAAAATTATTCAGCTATCAGGACACGAAAAGTCATATTGTATTTACCTGAGGGAACCTGAGGACTTTCCAAAGGCTACAAGCACAGATGATTTTAAGCGTGCAGTTTCCATTATTAACTCCATATGTACCTTCCTAAGGCAGATCCACCTGAGAATCTGTTCTTTTCTTCTTCTCCCTCCATAGTCACTCTTCTCCCATTTTACAAAGAAAGACCTATGCCTCATCTATCCCTAACCTCACTGTGGAAAACTGCTCTGTCATAGAAAACCTCCAGGACACAAAATAAAAGAAGAATTTCAAATATTAGTACTGATATTATTAATGAGAATGGCCTTTTGCAATTCGAATAGTTCCTTGTTCTTAGCTTTCAAAAAAATTAACTGAAGATCTACTAGAATTATTAGATGATCATCACTGAAAACAATTTTGATCACAGAAGTGAAAACTAAGAAATTAAAAATATTTAGTTAGTAATTTATTTTAAAAGCTCAAAATACATAAAGTACATAGTAATACAAAACCATGCTTTTAAATTAAATATAACTTTTTAAAATTTTGGTGAGCATGCTTGAATTTAATTAACAAAAATTGCCGAAACCGGTTTGGCTCAAGGTCCCGGGTTCGATTCCGGTCAAGGGCATGTACCTTAGTTGCGGGCATATCCCCAGTAGGGAGTGTGCAAGAGGCAGCTAATCGATGACTCTCATCGATGTTTCTAACTCTCTATCTCTCTTCCTTCCTCACTGTACAAAATCAATAAAATATATTTTTAAAAAATTAACTCAATATGGCTCATAGCCTAAATGTAAAATGCAAAGTGATAAAATTCCTAGAATATAACAAGAGATTTGGTGGTGACATTTTAGATACAGCACCAAAAGAACTCTCCATGAAATGAATAAATTTTTAAGTGAATTAAAATTTTCTGCCCTGCAAAAGTCAGTGCTAAGAGAATAAAAAGCCAAACCATAGGTTGGGAGGAAATTTTAGCACAACATTTATCTGATAAAGGGCTGCTATTAAATATACACAGAATTTATAAAACTCAACAAAAAGAAAACGAACAGCACAATTTTTTTTTAATGGGCAAAAAATCTGAAGACACCTCACCAAAGAAGAAATAAAGATGGCAAATAAGCATATAAAGAAATGTTCAACATCATATGAAATTGCAAATTCAATAAACAGTGAGATACCACTGCACACATGTTGGAAATCTAAAACCCACAACACTGATAATACCAAAAGCTGAGAGTGTCTGAAGCAGCAGGAACCCGCATTCGTTGCTGGTGGGACACAAAATAATACAACCACTTTGAAAGGCAGTTCGCAGTTTCCTAGAAAACTTAACATATTCCTCCTTGTGGCTCAGCAATCATGCTCCTTAGTATTTATCTAACTGAGTTGAAAATGTGTGTTTACATGAGAATCTGCATACAAATGTTTATAGCCATTCTACTCATAATTTCCAAACATGGAAGCAATCTTCAATAGTTAAATGGATAACAAACGTGATACATCCATACAATAGAAAATTATTCAACTATCAAGATATGAAAAGTAAAATAAGTCAATCTGAAAGGATATATACTATATGATTCCAGCTACATGACATTTTAGGAAAAGGAAAACTATGGAGACAGTAAGATGGTAAGTGGTTTGCAGAGTTTTATGGGGAGGGAAGGATGAATAGGTGGAACACAGGAAATTTTTAGGTAATAAAACTGTCCTGGTATGATATTGAAATTGTAGATGCACATCATCATATCTTTGTCAAAACCCATAGAATATACAACATAATGTAAACTATGAAATTTAGTTATTAAAATTGTATCAGTATTAGATCATCAATTGTAACAGATGTACCAGACTAATGCAAGAAGTTAACACGACTGTGGAGAGAGGGAGAGGGGATAAAGAGGAACTCTGTACTTTCTGTTCACTTTTTCTGTAAGCCTAAAACTGATTTTTAAGAATATTAGTGTTTTGCCAAAACCGGCTTGGCTCAGTGGTTATAGCGTCGGCCTGCAGACTGAAAGGTCCCAGGTTCGATTCCGGTCAAGGGCATGTACCTTGGTTGCGGGCACATCCCAAGTAGTGGGTGTGCAAGAGGCAGCTGGTCGATGATTCTCTCTCATTGATGTTTCTGGCTCTCTATCCCTCTCTCTTCCTCTCTGTAAAAAATCAATAAAATATATTTTAAAAGAATATTAATGTTTTAAAAGATTTGAAAAATACTGGTTTTTTAAAATATTGGCCCACAAGGTTTGCAAATTGAAATGGTTTGATAGAAATAATAGGGCTGACATAGAAAATATTGCCCCCTAGTGGTTGTGAAACAGAAAAAATTAAAAGTGTAGTGAACCAGCTGGAGCCATGGAAAAAAACAGCAATAGCCCCTTTGGACAAGGTACAATACTTCTAGAAGCAAATTAGTCTCAGATATGATAGTCATCCATAAATCTAAATAACTCAAGTAGATAGGAATAAAGATTATAGAGGACAACATTTAAGCAAAATCAGATATTGTATAAGCAAAGCATATGTGATTGATACCTTATGATACCTTGGGATTGACTTAGAAAGAAGGAAAGCGAATTCTATACCTCTTCCTTTGGGTAGGAAGACCTCTGCAGGCCAGGAAAAGGGCTATAAGATCTCAGGCTCGTTCTCTCAAAAATATTGACAGACCTGATCAGTAGGCAACTAAGTTAA